GTGTGTGTGTGTGTGTGTGTGTGTGTGTGTGTGTGTGTGTGTGTGTGTGTGTGTGTGTGTGTGTGTGTGTGTGTGTGTGTGTGTGTGTGGGCGTGTGTGTGGGCGTGTAGAAGGTTCAGCTAAGTGATGCACTGATTCGACTTTTTCTTTCCCAACAGATTCTGATTACGATACTGGCTGCTACAGAGCACTGATATGATATTTTTTCTTCAATAGGCTGTTTGCATATGATGTGCACTGCTGTGGCACAAACTGCTATGGAGAGCAGGAAGTGTTTTTCTACACAGGAAGTTGTCACAAGCTCTCTAAATGCCTGTAGTTTGCATTGTTTACAGAGGCTCAAATCGATTTAACTGAGAGACCACAAGGAACGTTTTTTTTTAACCTCAAAATTACTCAAAAATGTGACATTTTAAGTTTTTAATCCTACATTCAATTTCAGAAATGTAAAAGTCTGAAACTGATAAATACAGATGAAGCTGGTTTGCACATGGCTTTTATTCTGTCACACTTTGCAAGAGAGGCTTTTATTTTGCTATGCCCCAGAGAAACACATGGTGCACTTCATGTCTGTAGGAGGATGTCTGGAGATCACTGAATCACATAATTAAAAATAAATTGTAGTGATGAAACTTCAAAGAACACTTTTGGTATGGGTTGGAGTGATGAACCTTAACTGAACATCTTCAGGATGAGTTGGAGTGACGGATCTCCATTAAACCTCTTCGAGATGAGCTGGAGTGACGGATCTCCATTAAACATCTTCGGGATGAGTTGGAGTGACGGATCTCTATTAAACATCTTCGGGATGAGTTGGAGTGACGGATCTCCATTAAACCTCTTCGGGATGAGCTGGAGTGACGGATCTCCATTAAACCTCTTCGAGATGAGCTGGAGTGACGGATCTCCATTAAACCTCTTCGGGATGAGTTGGAGTGACGGATCTCTATTAAACATCTTCGGGATGAGTTGGAGTGACGGATCTCCATTAAACATCTTCGGGATGAGTTGGAGTGACGGATCTCCATTAAACCTCTTCGGGATGAGTTGGAGTGACGGATCTCCATTAAACCTCTTCGAGATGAGCTGGAGTGACGGATCTCTATTAAACATCTTCAGGGTGAGATGGAGTGACGGATCTTCATTAAACCTCTTCGGGATGTTTGAGTTGAATTCTAACAGAATATAAATCCTTTTTAGAAAAGCAGATTCTGTTACTGCAGCAAAGGGACAAACTCACTATTAATACCCTTCATTTCAGAAGAAACTCTGGATCAGCAGGTGTTTGGATATTCCTGGATGTGTGATGTGTGTTTTTAGCCTATGTGTGTGTTTCAGTGTATTCACACACACCCACACACACGTGTCCATGCATCTGCGAGTGGGAGTGCTGCGGCTCTGTGAGTGCAAATGCACGCTATTGTGTGAAATCTGGACACACAAAAACAGGAAAACAGACAGCACGTCTTTTCTTCATCTCTCTCTCTCGCTGTTCCACACCTCCTCTTCCTCCGCGCTGGGAGATGCGGCCTCCACCAACCCGAATATGACATATGCACATGTCACACCTTCATACATGCTGCGGCGGAGTGAGTTATTACACTGCCTGTCACAAAAGAGAACGCGCTGGAGAAATGAGGCATCACGCATCCACCTGAGGGATGAAGGATGAGCGTGTGCGCGTGAGATGGACTGCTCCAAATCTGTCTTCATTCCGACTGATGGGTCCTTTTCTCACTGAGCTGGTGGAGGAGTCTGCATCACGTCAAGAGGCTGCTTTACGTGCCGTCTTTGACAGATACAACCTGCAGTGAGCTACTGTAACACAGCTGGGGCGACTTCTCAAAATTCATCCATAATTGAGTGTTTGGGATGTAAACAGAGGGATTCAGAGAGGTTTGGTGTGAAATGGTTGATTGTATCCCTCCACCATTAATAGATTTGTAGGCCAAAATCTGCTCAAACTATCAGAAGACAATATCTCAGGCACGAGGCTTTATTTTTAAATTTTTAGAGGTGGACGTCTGGTTCCTATCACCACCACTGTGAACAATTCTGACTCGGTAAGTTTCTCTAGAACAGAGCGTTTCACACCAAACCACTCTGAACCTCTCTGAACCACTCGGTTTACATCTTAACCATTAAACAATTTTCCTATTAGTTATGATGTAAAAGCCTTGTAAAAGTATATAAAAGTGTTCAAAGGTTTTCATGGTTTTGAAATCTGATTGGCTGAGCCTCCACACAGTCCTAAAGCCCTAGTGGGACGTGATTAGTTTTGCATGGGGAGGTGGGTGATGCCAGTTTACTCCAGGATGTCTGTAATGTTTATAACAGATTCACACCGGATAAGAAATCTCAGCATAAATGACGGAGATGGAGCAGCTACTCGACTTACGTGCTGCCTTCACTCCAGAAAAGATGTTCAAACACTGGGCTTCATTCTCCAGTATCTTCCTAAGTTTGTTCTTAAGTGTTGTTGAGAAAGCTCCTGAGAAAAAGTCTGCGTCAGATTCATGATTCGTGTTCTTAAAGCGCAGAACTGTTCTCACCTTTGTGCTGTTGAGTGTGTGTAGATTCTGTTCTCACCTAAGAACAAATCCCAGATAAGAGAACACTGGCGAGTCAGAATCTTCATAAAAACTGCGTAAGTGGGTTTAAGAAGAGATTTCTTCTTCAGGACGGTTGGTGAATGAGGCCTATTTGATTTAGCTGTTATTTCATTGACCCTGAACATTTACCTTTCTGTTAAGTCGGGGTTACACTACATGACCTTTACCCTGATTTTAGCCCTGATTCTCAGAGTTGGCTCTAGTTAGTCTAGCAGTTATGTTAAAAACATTACATGTTAAAAAAAACGTTTACAGAGATGTCAAAAAAGGGGGGAAAAGGAAAAAAAGGTAGATGTAGATGTGAACTCTGATTTGGAGCTGCAGTCAATTGCAATTTCACTGAAAACACTTATGGCTCCCACAGGAGTCACTGTTTGGTGTCGAGATGTCTCTTTAGATTTGAGGGTTTTAGCGCCTCATTTGAAATAAACACTCCACTCAGTGGGCTTCTGGATCAGCATCATCACAATCAACAATATTAATAAATCTTACCTGATCTCTGCTTCTTTGTCATTAGTTTATCAGTTTGAGTTTAACTGCTCAGGTCGCTGGTGCTCGGCCAGAAATCAAACATAGATCTTCGCTATTATTTTAAGGCTCGTCTGTGGTTTTTATCAGCTGCAGCTCGAGCTGCAGGAACGATATGAGAGCAGTGAGAGTCTGTAAAGAGTCAGACGTTAAAACAGGCAGATTAATCTGACAGTACAGCGCTGACGCGCTGACAGAAGAGGATGAATTTCCATCGTTTGATCATAGAATGTGAGGGTGCTTCACGGCCCACAGGTCGAGAAACCTTGGTGTAGTGAACCCAAGGCTTTAAGTGAATGCACTGCGTCATTAGCATTACAGTTAGCTGGGAATTCACAGCGAACAGGCAACATCACTGTAACATTACATTTCGGCCTGATTTCAGCCACAGCGGACGCAAGTAAACACTTCTTCAGCCTCCATACTTAAGAAACTCCTTTTGCCGATTCGCAAAGGATTGGTGTAATTTGAGGTTATTTGTACAGCTCATTTGTAGAAGGTAATCTTTACTGAAGCAGGAGCGCACAGTCTGTTTCTCACAGCCCAGGGCCTGGACATACAGTTGATTCTCTAACTCTTACTGTACATTTACACTAATAAGTATCTTACAAGGAATCAAAAAAGAATAAAAAAGACTTCAGACGCTGATGTGGAAAAAGGAAAAGGTTCCTGCTTTTACTCGAGCATCAAGTGGCAGAAGTTTCCGGAAACCAAGTGCCATCAGTTTCAGAACAACCCTTTTTATGCAAGTCTTGGGGTGTATGGCATGCGCCCGCCCCCCCGGACCCCGACGATGGCCGCAAGAGCTGGCAGCAAGGCAAGGCCCGAACTCCGAGCGGGAACGACGCCCAGCAAGGATTGTGGGGATAGGAGAACCGTGCATGAGTGGGGGATGGCCCACAAATCCTGAGCACCCCCGAGGGACGCGGGAGGAGGACGCCGATGACGGCTATGAGAGGCACGAGGGTGGGAAGCGAGTCCTAAACTAACTCCCTCTCGGCTCAGGTGAGCGCCTTATAAAAAAAGCAGAGAGGGAACAGAGAGAGAGAAAGATGAGCAGCAGAAGAAAAGACTGAAAAGCGAGAGTGAGAAAAGGACTGAAAAGTCTTGTCTGAAGACACTGAAAAGTAGCCGGCTTCTTTGGTTCTGAGTTCTTTGTGTTTTATTTGTATTTGGAGTGAAAATTAAAGTAAAATGGCCACTGCGACCCTGAACCCTGCCTACAGCGTCCTCCTTGGGCCCGGAGTAACACGGGTTGTGCTACAGGGTGATAAGACGATCACCCCACCCTTTTTACAGTTTCCATTCCATTTTAGTCCCATTGTACTCTAATTGGTCAGCCTTAAATCAAGATGTATATAACATCCTTTCTTTAAAAGCCAGTCTCATCCTGCTCGTACCAGGCTGTTCTGTCACTACAAGGTCATCTTATAAAACTTGCCATGTGAGTTTAAAAGTTCACTAAAGCTAGAATTTTCCATGCACACAGCCTATCACCTATTCTTTTTCCTATATTACCTCTTTGTGAGAAATCAATATTCTCTTTTCAGTCGATACCTGTTAAAAATTACTGTTGATTACTGTTAAAAAGAGTATTTATTTAAATTTGCCATCAAGTCTGTAAAAATGGCTCACAGGGTGCATTCGGACGGGACTAAAATCACTGAGAAATGGCAGTAATAATTACAGTTCACGTCTCCTCATGTAAAATTAATTCCGTCTAAAAAGGGTTCAGGTCTACTTTTGTCTGTCCTTGATACCAGGTTTAACAGCGAGTTAACAGGTTTGTTTATTTCACTGGGAGGATGTAAACGCAGCGTTGGTGTGTATGAAGAACAGCAGGTGAGAGGATGAGTTTACCTCCTCCAGATCAGCAGCCCCACTCCCAGAGACAGCAGCATGATCAGAGCCGCTACAGACACCACCACGATGATCACCACCGGACTCTGCTCACTGGAGGCCAGGGCCACTGCGCGCACACACACACACACACACACACATACACACATACACACACACACACAGAGCAGGGACAGAGAGGAGTCGTGGTTAGTATTCACAGCAGCACGAGTCGTTTACTCTCCTCTAAAAGCAGCGGAGCATGACGGCCCCATCATTACTCAGAGATCAGCTAAAAAAACACACATTTATGCATTTTAATGCGGCTGCTAGTGTGTGTGCACATGCAAATATTTGAGTTGACGTTTGCGCGTGTGCATGCCGTGTGTGGCGTCAGGATGTTCTGCGTGTTTGTCCAGGTTAAATGAGAACGCGCAGTGTGTGTATTTGTTCATGTGTGCTGGCGTGACCTTGTGTGTGGACCGCACCTGTTTACCTGTGCTGTCCATTTGGGTGTATTTATATGGCAGAGGTTCGCATGTGTGTGTGCCACGGCACTGTGGAGGCCTTTAATGCACTAATTTCTGTTAAATGACTTTAATAAAAATGAATAAATGTCAAGCCAAATTATGGAATGCAAAAGTTAATTGAATTTGCCTTAACAGATTAACACGCCCCTTTATGTACGGTGCTAAGGTGGCCTATATAGTTAGAACAGTCTTAAAGGGCCGGCATCTTTTATTATTATTTGCACTTATGATAATTGTGTGGGTGCCAAAAACAGCTAAAATTATTTTTTATATCAACCTCTCTTAAAATTAAACAGGCTGTTTCTGTTACTGTGCCTTTAAGCCTGATATGTAAATGAACTCTGTTCTGATTGACTGCGTTTTGATGGCCTAGGGTATGTATGTGTATATATATATATATTATATATATATATATATATATATATAATAAATAATAAATATAACCAAACTAGCATTAGTGTAACTCTTACTTTCAGCATTGATTAAAATCATTAATAAAACAGTGATTCTATCTTTAATACATCTTTAATATATCGGCCTGATTTTAGTCACAGAAGGCCTGTAAGGCCGGTCTGCTGCTTTAGTGCTCTTTAGCGCCCCTCTGTGTTGGAACAAACATCATGCAATAACTCAGAAAACACCTTCTGCACTTACTCAGCTTTATTTCTGCATTTGTTATTTCTCTTCAATTTTCTGTACTTTGCCTCTGTCTTATTACTTTGCACTTTATATGCACTTAACTCATTCTCCTTACTGTCTACTTTTTAAATAAAAAATAAAAAAATCAATCAATTAATTAATTAATTAATTAAACAAACTAGATTAAGCTGTGGTACGGCTCTTGTCTCTTAAGGTATGTATCCACGTCATCCACAGTTTTGCCCACGTTCGTTTTCAGTGATGAGCTGCAAAAGTGTGTGACGGTGGAGGCTTCGAATTTATGCAAATTACACTCAGCAGCCACGAAGGGCTGACCAATCAGGGAAAAGCAAGTCTGTCCGTGCACAACAAGGACGTGCCTACCATTCTGTACGATCCAAAACCTAAATACAAAGACAAAAGTAGGAGAAATACCGCGTGGCAGGAAGTCTCTGATGGTGTCGGTGCTCCTGATGAGGTAAAAAACAGAACTAAATTGCAATTTTAGCAATTTATATCTTTGTTTTTTGGTTGACAGCCTGTGTAGCCAGCCAACATTTACTGAACGATACTGAGCTTTTTACGTTTGCGTGATTAGCCAACTTGAGAAGATAGTTTATATGAAAGTTATTTGAAATCCACAACTGATTGACAGGTTAATTTGCATCCTGCGCTAAATGGACGCCGCTTAAGCAGCGAGGCGCTGGTGACGAAAGCGAAGGGTGAATTCTGCGCCGCGTGCACCGTAAACGTCCCGTTAGGTTATGGATTCCTGTAGAGTCTCTGTGTAATTTGTATAGTTTTGCACTGTTAAGAGCGTCTGCTAAGTGACTACTCACGCTCCCCGAGGGTCTGCAGCTCCAGCGGAGCGCTGTAGGCCCCATAGTCCAGCGGAGAGGGCGAAGGGGCCACGGCTCCCACAGATGAAGAGGACGTTGAGGCCAAAGAAGAGGAGGAGGAGGAGGAGGAGGAGGAGAGCAGGGAGGAAGAGAGAGAGGAGGGGGCAGGGCTTGAACATGTCCGGATCAGGAAGACGTAGGTTGTGCCCGGTTTCAGGTTGTTGACGCTGATTTTGGTGGCTGCAGTCTTCACTGTGGAGTAACTCTGGTCCTTCTGCTCCTGGAAGGACAGACAGAAGTTTTATGAGGGAGGGCAGAAAATGTCACTGATGTCCTCCAGCCTCCACGCCCTGAAAGCACTGGTATCATCATCATCTATCGGAGAGAGCTCAAGACATAATAATAATATAACCTTTATTTATATAGCATTGTTCATGCCGGTGACAGCTCAATGTGCTTTACAGACAGGTGATAAAGCTGAACAGTAATATAAGAAATGAGTTCATTTAAAATCATAAGAAAATGACAGATCAGATTACAGAGATAAATATAAAGAGGCGTAAAGTTTTAATTAAACGTTGAACTGAGTTTTCAGATGTTTATTAAAAGTGAGCTCTGAGCTCGACTGTCTAATAAAAGCTGAACTGAGCTCCACAGTTTAGAAGCAGAATAGCTGAAAGAGTCTCTCCACGTTTTCTGTGTTTTACTGAAGGAGTTCAGAAGGTCAGAATCTGCAGATCTGAGATCATAAACAGACGTTTAGGAGCTTTAAGGTCATTTAGAGCTTTAAAAACCAGCAGCAGAGCTTTAAACTCTCTCTAACAGATCCAGGCGGTCAGTGCAGTGTGTAACGGGGGGATATGAGCTCTCTGTGTTGGTGCTGTGAGGATCCGTGCTGCTGTGTTCTGTACGGGTTCTAGAGGATGGACTGTTTTCTCCAGTAAGAAGATCATTACAGTGATCAACTCTGCTGAACAAGCGCAGCAACGAGTTTCTCTGCGTCGCTCTGAGAGAGAAAAGGCTGAACTTTAGTGATTTTCTAACACGATTAAAGCTGATTTAGTGACTGTGTTTACAGGCAGATTAAACAGCTCAGAGTCTCAGATCTCACCCAGGTTTCTACTGTATATAAAGCTAAAGAGTGAGGCTTCTCATAAAGCAGCTGTCTCTCCTATTCATGCCCGTCAACTAAATTCGCTTGTTCAGATCTGTCTGCAGTGTTAATGTTAATGCCATTAATGCCAGATTCTACTGCCATCATCAGGAGATCCTCAGTTCAGTCCCGGTGATGCCACAGCCATCCACGGTCAGGAGTCCAAGAGATCATAACTGTCCTCACTTTCTCTCTATGGGTGGGTGCAGAACCATGAACACTCAAAGAACCATTTGCATGCTTGATCTTTGCTTGGTGAAAAGTTCTTCAGATTGTTGGGGAATGTGTTATATATGGTCTTGTATATTTGAAAATGGTTCACTATATATCACCAAAAAGGGTTCCGGTATTGTTACAATGTCAAGCTTGCAACAAAAGAACCCTTTTTGGTGCTACAGAGAACCGATTTTAAAATCTGAAGAACCATTTCATAATGCAAAGAACCATTTAAGCATACAAATGGTTCTTTGAGTGTTCACAGTTCTATACAGGACCACTGTCTTTACTAAAAAACCCTGAAGAACCATCTTTAAGCTGGTTCTCCCTCACTCAGCATGAGTCAATGGGTGTTGCGACAGAATAAATAGTTAATGTTCTCCTCCAAGCGTGATGAGATAGCAGCAGTTAAAATAGATGTGGTGGAGCTTCATGCATCTCAAAGGAAGCTTGATTAGCTTTTACCCTCCCAGCTTGTGAAAGAGGGAGACCTAGTTAATGGGTGGAAGGCCAAAAGGAAAATATCAATAGTGTCACGTGACCAAAAGACTAACGTTGTTATTGAAAATTGGTTTAGCCCATGGTTAGACTGATAGGAAAAACTCTTTAGATTGTTATTTTCTTGTTAGTTGCGTTTTTATTGATTTTTCTATTTATGCTTTTATCTTATGCTTTTTAATTATGATTATTAATATATCCATTTTCTGCTATTTATTGTTTATTTTGATTATCTTTTTCTCTTCTTCCTCTGTTTTTTCTTTGTATTGTGAAGCACTTTGAGCTTCATCTTTAATGGATGAAAAGTGCTACATAGACAAACATTATTATTATTATTATTATTATTATTATTATTAGATTTGTGCTCATGCAAGCTCACAGATAAAATGGACAAAGGTCATCAAAGATTATTGACGCCACCGTTTTTTCACTGCTGTTTAAATAGAAAATGTGCTTAATTGCCTTTACATACCACATTAAACATTTTTTCAGCACATCATCTATATGACCTGGCAATTATTTTCTCACCTTGACATACTGTATCAACATCAAACAAACAAAATTGGATTTGAAAAATGATTGAGATTTTTTTCAGTTTCTTCACGAGACAAATAAACCACAACAATAAATGATAAATGCAATGCCAGCCCCTTTCCCACTCTGCATACTTTTATGCACATGTAAATATGATTTTTATATCAATTTTATATTTCCCTACATCTGTTTTTACTTGGTCTGTCAACATCAAACAAAAACCAGCGTAGCGTTTCCAGACAGAATTTGACGGCCGCGTTCAATGTGACTGTTTTTATGCTGTGAAGTCTTGAATGCAGGCCTGATCGGCGACTCGCGAGGGTCAGTCATTTGACAGCCCTAATATGGAACAAAGGAAACGTCAGATTTCAGATATTTAAATGTCCATATTCAGCTTTATGTGGTACATTGAGTATAGTGTAACTGATGCTGCTGCGCAGATTCAGATGACAGACAGCTGAAATTTCTCACTGCTTAGTGAAGAAGCTGTCAGAGCTCTGGAGTTTGAAAGAAAACTTAATGTTGATTTTAAGGCAGGATTGTGTCATTATATCTTTTTGTTACAGTGAAAAGACAAGAACTCGGCAGGTTGAGGCTTCCCTGCATCTACAGTGTCATCACTGTGGCCATATAAGCGTCTTTCCTTTAAAGTTTTCTTTCTTTCTTTTTTTTGTTTAGTATCTAAAACTCAGCCCACTCCTCATCACCTTCTTTAATTTATCAAACGTTTACTTTGTCTTTCCTGCTTTGTGGGTTTCTGGAATGATACAAATTCCCGAAAACCTTTATGAAAGCAATAAAGCTCAACGGCACATAAAATATGTATTAGTGTGAAATTTGTTATATTCTACAAGGACAGATCAGGGTCTTTTGTGTTTTCTGCTACGTTCCAAATAATAACCAACAAAGCTAATGCCTGGCGAATAGAGTCATGGAATTTGGGTCAACATGACGCAACATTGCGCCAACAAGAGGCATTGTTTAAGCTGCAGCTCGATATTAAAACAGAAGAAATTCCCCGCTCTCCGGCCGGCCCCAGCTGTCCTGAGCGCCGCAGTGACGTCTGCTTGCAGTGTAATTTCGCTGCGGAGCTCAGAGACGGTCTGATTGGTTGCGTGCAGCATGTGTGAAGGGAAAAGGCAATAAATCCGGCCTCATGACTCCGGTGTGGTTTTGATTCACCAGGAGAAAATGACTTATATTTCAAAGCCGATGCCCTTCTCCAAATGAAAGGTGGTGGCCCTGCTTGTCCAGGATATATTAATGCCTGGAGATCAAGGCTGGAAATTCCTTGAGGCGAGACACTACAAGCAGAAATTAGATTTTTGGGCCCATCATCTTTTTTCACATTTTTGGATAAATTACATCTGCTGCATTATTAAATGGTTAAGATGTGAACAGAGTGATTCAGAGTGGTTCAGCATGGTTTGGTGTGAAACGCTCCGTTCTAGATAAACTTACCGAGTCAGAATTGTTCACAGTGGTGGTGATGGGAACCAGACGTCCACCTCTAAAAGCTCCCTCACAGAAAGTTCCTACATGAAATGGTTATGAATTCACTGCCTGATGACTGAGACACTGTTTTATGATAGTTTAGAGAACTTAAACTCCATTCATGGTGGAGGGATACATGCAGGGCGCTGTGAGGCAAAATAGTCCCCAAAGAAAACTTATTATTTCAGATTTTCCACTATTTTCCATCATCAACATTCATATAAACTCAGAAGACTCGTGTAGGTTCACTGGTGGTTCTGGATAGTAAATAAAATGTCTATATTTGTGTTGTAGTCATGGCGACCCCTGGTTCCTATCACCACCACTGTAAAGACACTCTGTTTACATCTCACACCCTGAATTATGGGGGGAATTTTGAAAAATCAGTAGAATTTCCCTTTTAACAATGTAAAGCTATTCTCCACATCTAGAATCAACAAAGTCAATATTGGATTTTGAACCTACAACCTTTTTCTTTTGCCACTAGGCCACCTGTTATCCCCATAATCTCCACAGAAAAGCACTGACCAATAGAGTGGGACCCTCTGGAGCAGCTGCACATGAGGCCCCAGGTCACCGTGTCTAATGCCAAGTGTGGGCTAGAGGGGTATAAAGCCCCTCAAGGGGCTAAGATAATATTTTTCACAAATTCATATTACAGAAGCAAATCTTATCTAAATTCAGGACTTTTCTCTCATCTCTCAGCAGCTTATCTCCACTTAGGAAATCTTAGCCTACTCCATCGAAGTTAACAATCAGCTGTCACATCTGGTGCCTGGCAACCAACTGCTGAAACGTAAACACGTCATCAAAATAATGTTAAAAATGTAAGTTACAGCTGCGGTTACTGATGTACGTGTCTGCAGCGTCAGGGACTTTAAAAACGCGGCATTAGAAAAGAGAACAGTTGTTCAGTTGCTGTGATGCAGTCGGTGTGTGCATGTCGTGTACCGTACAACAGTTTAGAACGTGGCTCAGCCAATCAGATTTTAGGAGCAGAACTAACTGTTTTATAATAGAGGATGTTGGCCTGGTGTGTGTGTGTGTGTGTGTGTTGTGTGTGTGAGTGTGTGTGTGTGTGTGTGTGAGTGTGTGTGTGTACCTTCTCGTAGTATTTGATCTCGTACTCTGTCCGGCTGCTGTTTGGGTTCACAGACTCCCTCCAGGCCAGAGTTACACTGCGCTGCTCGATCTTCTCTGCTCGCAACTCACTCACCTGAGAGGGCGCTAGAGAGAGGGAGAGAGAGAGAGAGAGAGAGAGAGAGAGAGAGAGAGAGAGAGAGAGAGAGAGAGAGATGAATGATTTACAGTGAATCTGAACTCTGGTTTGTCCACTTCAGCCCAGCCCTCACCTGAACACCTGAACACCTGAACACACTGAGTCTGACGTTCTTTGCTTTACTTTGTTCTTTATTCTGCAGATCTGCTGTGTGAAGCGCGGCGCGGAGCTCTGACTGCACAGTGAACTCAGCACGGAGCTGCTCAGTGTGAGCGATGCTGAACATCAAAGGGAGGAAGTGTGTGTGTGTGTGTGTGTGTGTGTGTGTGTGTGTGTGTGTGTGTGTGTGTTCTGATTAAGAGATGATTAATGAGACTGCAGCAGTCTGAGAGCTGTCACTCAAAATCTCCCACCGAGGACTGACGGCTCCATCAGCACAACAACCAGAAACAACATACGCTCTCTCTCTCTTCCTGTTTTTCTTTCTCCTTCCTCCTCCTCTCTCTCTCTTTCGTCCTCGTTCCATCTCTCTTCCTCTCTGTTTCTCCTCTCTCTCTTTCCTCTTCCCTTGTCCTATTCCCCTTTCTTCTCTCTCTCTTGGTCTCTCCATTTCTCTTCCCTTTTTCTCCTTTTCTTTCTCTCTCTTCCTTCCATCTCTCTCCTCCTGTTTTTCTTTCTCTTTCCTCCATCTCTTTCTCCTTCACTCTCTGCTCCCTCTTCGTTCTCTTTCCAACTTTTCTGTCTATTTCTCCTCCCTTTTTTATACCCCCCCTTTTCCTTCTCTCTTGTTTCTCCTTCTCTCTCTCCCCATCTATTGCTCCTCCTTCTCTTTCCCTCATCTCTCCTCTAACTCTTTCTTCATTGTCCCTCTCTTTCTCCGCATCGCTCCTGCATTCTTCTCTCTTGTCCCTTTATATCTTTCTCCTATCTTCTCCATCTCTCTTTCTCTCCCTCATTCCTTCTCCCTTTCTGTTTCTTTCTCCTCTCTATATCTGTTTCTTCTTCCTTCTTCCTCTTCTTCTTCTCCTCCCTTTTTCTTATTCCTCTCTACCTTCTTTCCTCTGTCTCTCTCTCTCCCCATGTCTATTTCTCTTCCTTCTCTTTCTGCTCTTTTTGTCCCTGTTCTCTTCTTTATCCCTCTCTATGTTTCTCCCCATATCTCTTCTCTTTTGTTATGTCTCTCTTTCTCCTACCTTCTCCATCTTCTTCCTCCTCTCTTCACATCTCTCTGTCTGCTCTGACAAACCAAAACATTATATGAACAGTAGAGAGTCTCTCTCTCTCTCTCTCCTCTCTCTCTCTCTCTCTCTGAGTGTACGCTGCTCTGTCGTGTTCAGGTGATTCTAATAAAGCTGTATTTTGGGGTCTGATCAAAGCGGATGCAGATTTACTCTGAGATGTCTCTCTGTTCTATTTGATGTCTGGAGGCTTTAGAACAAAGGGACAATGCATTATTCATCCACAGCTTTAACGGCTGCCAGCTAACGAGCGCCGCGCGCCTCCGCCAGCCGCCGTTCAATTACAACACGCGAGTGGCAGGCGTGTAGACCGAAGAGCTGACGGAGTCAAAAGGTGAAACTGTCTCCAGAAAAACTCCAGACAGTGGAGAAGAGATCATATCGGTGTGATTAGTATCGGCAGCTCGTTAGCCTCCTACGTATCAATCCATGTCTGCACTGTGATCGGTGAGGTGTTGGACATTTGGCCGAAAGAGATTTGCAACACGTACAACACGTTTGAAACAATGAATGAAGTGGTTTAAAGCAACTGAAAATTCCAGTGTACACAACTTCCCCATTACAGCAAATGTGCTCAAATCAGCAGAGACTAGAGAGAACACGGTTACCACGGTTACCTTTTTCTTTACCAAAACTAAAACCATGACTAGCAGCCAATACTGACACCAAGCTGCTCTTTATTATTTAAGTCAAGTCAGTTTATTTATACAGCGTTTTTAACAACAGGTGTTGTCGCAAAACAGCTTTACAGAAAAATCCGGGTCTGAGCTTCCAGGAGCGTCGCCAATGGCAACAGTGGCAAGAGAAACTCCCTAAGAGCAAAAGGAAGAAAGCTTAAGAGGAACCAAGACTCTAAAGCGGAATCCATCCTCCTCTGGTCGATACTGGATATCAAACGAACAAAGAAGGTTTTAATATATTAGTATAAAATATTAAAATACAGAAAAGGGGAAAAGCAGGAGAAGCACTGGCTCTGATTAAACAGTTAACAGAAGGAAACAGCATCATCAGAAGGGCCAGTTAATGCAGGTGAGGTTTTCACAGTGTTGTACAGCAGAGGCTCCATGGTGGTCAAACTGGTCCAGAAGGCTGGCGAGCAGTGGGCACCTGATTAAGGCAATAGTGAGAATGGTGTCTCTGTCGTTGCCACTCCGGGCCAGAACGCCTGCTATAGGGCTATGTAACTTTGGAGGAGCAGCACGAGAACCTCTCGCCTGAACTGCGTAACGCTTTATGGCTCTACGTCACACCAACAACTCAGCAGCTATAAGAAGAGGCAGCTTGGTACTCCCAGCATGGACATCACAGCAGAGGCTGTGGAGAGACTGAAGGAAGACACTGTCGGAGGAAGCGAGGAAGAGAATATGAGGGAGTGACCGAGCGAGAGACCGGACAGTAAATCTCAGACTGGCTTTTACTCGCTGGCGAGAGCTAAAAGAGATAAAAGGATGCAGGACAGACTCACGGCTAACAAGAAAACAACAAAACTCTGACAGCAGAGTGTTCATCCCTGCCCCCATCCCCCGAGTTTTGTAGCTTTTCTGGATGTCGAAAGTCCTGTTTTGGGCTGGAATACAAAGAAATAAATTCATCTCACGCCAAAAAGTTTGTATCTTACGCCAAATAAGCCTTAAAAGTTTGAACCTCCTGTAATCCTGTAATGTTGCTCTAACTTGTAAGTCGACATGGTTCTTTCTCTTCTGATGCTATCTTTGCTGGTGTTGTTCCGGCTCCCTGGCAGAATCCGACTCCTCTTCGTGTACACATGCGTCACACAGGCATATGGACCCTGAAGATTACACTCACGAAATCGGTTACTTACACAGAGAAACAACCGAATCGTGAGTGTAATCTGTAGTGGAAATATTTCCTATGTGACACGTGTGCACACAAAGGGGAGTCAGATTCTGTATCCTTTAGCTCATCAACAAATGCACATGTACAGCTGTCCATGAGGGGGCGCTCACAGCGCGTTTTGTATTTACGACAGTAGTGTAAAAGTGAAATTCACTCTGCAACTGTAGGTGGAGCCCAGGAGTGAAAAACACCAATTCTTCTATGATGCTGCTTTAAAGGGGACCTTTTCTACTTTTCCAGTTTTTCTGGAACATTGAAGCATCTAAATCTGTTCTAGTAGACCAAATATTACATTTAAATTTTAAAAAATTATGAACAATGAAAATTGAAAAGCATACAGATCCTCTTAAATAAGTTGTATTTAACTGAATTAGTCCTTTGAACTTTATTCCCTAGGGGTAAAATCAGCTTCCGTGGGTCCATTTTGACCCATAAACACTGCAGGTGTTCTGCACAGCCTGTAGGCCTGAATGTTTATAGAAAACAGTCACTAGATTGTTATGAAAAATCTCTCTGGCATTTTGCATGTATGAGAGAAAAAGGCCGGTCACTCGTCAGCAGTGCTGGACACGTGTACACGACAAACCTACACGACAGCAGTTTTAATTAATAATACTGAACACATAAACCCATCCACTCTCATACTCTCTCTCTCTCTCTCTCTCTCTCTGTATGTTGAATAATGTATACAGGACTCCACACTATCAGTGAGTGCTCCACTGTAACTCAATGTGACACACACTCACATGCACGTACACGAACACGCACACGCACTCGAACACGCACACGCACGCACGCACGCACGCACTCGAACACGCACACGCACTCAAACACGCACGCATGCACTCGAACACGCACACGCACGCACGCACACACAGCTGGTCTGAACGTACTCTAACAGAAAACAGGAGGGAACAAGATAGAATAGGAAGGAACAAGAGGGAATAAAAGGAACTAAGAAGGAACAGCAGGGAATAAAAAGGCAGGAAATGGAGAAACAGGAAAGAGAATAGGATAAGGAGGGAGCAGGAGAGAATATGAGGGAATAGGAGGGAATATGGGGGAATGGGATGGAATAAAAAGGCAGTGGATGGAAAAATAGGGAACACAATGGATGAGGAGAGAACAGGAAGGGTAGGAGTGAATAGCATGGACCAGGAGGGAACAGGAGGGAATAAGAAGGCAGACGATGGAAGCAGAGGGAAGAGGAAAGAATAGAAGGGAATATGAGGGATTAAAAAGGGCTGGAAGAGAATAGCAGGGAACAGGGGGGATAAGAGGGATAGGAAGGAACAGGTTTGAAGAGGTGGGAGGAGGAGGATATAGCAGAGAACAGGAGAAAATAGGAGGGAATATGATGGCATAAAAAGGCAGAGGATGGAAAAACAGGGAAGATGAGGGAACAGAAGGGAAGATGAGGGAAGAAGGGCTAGAAGTGAATAGCAGGGAACAGGAGGGAACAAGAGAGGACAGAAGGGAACAGGAGGGGAACAGGAAGGAGTAGGAGTGAATAGCAGGACACAGGAGGAGACAGGAGAGAAGAGGAGAAAATGGGAGGGAATAGGATGGAACGAGAATGCAGAGGATGAAAAAATAAAGAAGAAGAAACAGAAGGGAATATGGGGGAAGAAGATGGACTAGAAGTGAACAGCAGGAAACAGAGGGAATAGGAAGGAGCAAGACTGCATAGGAAAAATCAGGAGATAACAGGAGGGAATAGCAGTGAATAAGGGAGAAGGGAATATGGGGGACAACAAGGGACTAGAGGTGAAGAGCAGGGAAAAAGGAGGGTATAGAAGAGATCAGACGAAAGTAGGAGGGAGTAGGAGTGAACAGGAGGGGACAGAAGAGAAAAGGATGGAATGGGAGGGGATATGAGGGAACAGGACAGGACAAGAGAGAACAGGATGGAA